TAACAGCCAGCATCTGCGCAATATTCTAACTGCCTGGATTTTTCTTTTCTCAAGTGGTTGCGGCGATTCTACGTGTCGTTCAGCGAAGGGATGTATGATGCAATTAAACGAAGATGGATAGCAAAATTCGAAAATTTCTCAATCCGCCGAAAACTAAATACAACGCTGAATTTACTAAGTAAATTTACTAAGTAAATTCAGCGTTGTATTTACCTTCACACTACTTTTATATTTACTTCATATTACTCTTCCCATCACATAAATACAGTTTAACAAGAATTATTATTATTACTACTAATCTTCTTCTTCCACAATACTTTTTAACCTAACAGTTATTAACTCCAGCTGCCAAAACCGTCGCACTGACGAGGTCCAATTGTGGTAATGGTAAGAAATGTATACGAGTTAATGAACCGAAACATTTCTTACCATTAAATTAATTCTTATATAATTTACAAATTTTGTAATTCTCATCTCCTACCTTTTTAATGCTCTTCTTCTTCTTTCAACCATTGTTAATATATCCTATTTTTAATCCAGTAACTTGACAAATTTTTAATTTGTTCAACAGCAAATGAAAAACTGTAAATGCAACAACGTACAACTCTGTCATCTTTTCGAGCGCACTGGGCGCGAAGTTCGTTGAGTCTTGCCTCTTCCTCCTTCACTTTTTCTTTGGATTGCTCCACTGCGTGTTCCAGCTGAACAACCTGTAAATCCAGTGCTTCCAAACGTTTTGCAGCCTCGCCTTTTTGCCGTTCCAATTGCAGTACCGTATCTTGCAGCGTTGTTAGCTCAATCTGCAATAAACCTTCCTGACCTCACCACATTTTTTCATCCGCTTAATTCAAATTCATCTTTCAGATTCAATCCAGTCTTTCGCACGCAAGGCCAATGAAGCAAAATTTCCTAACGAAATAGATACGGTTATCATCCTCATTTTGTGATTTAGCGAGATCGACTTCACTTTCAGCATCCACAGCACAAGGAAGCGGTAAAAGACTTAAAAATTCAACGGAAACTTATATTCCAAATCCATGGTTGACGATATGTATCCCGTAACTAGTGCACTTTTAATATTATATTTATCTCAAATCTCAAAAGTTAAAGAAAAAATTTCCGAACTCACAGAGCCAAAGTCCTCATAATCACTATCTTAGCCGTACATTTTCACTGAATTCAGAAACTTTAAAGTTGGCTGAACTGCAGCAAATATAACAGTTGAACACGAAACAGAGAGGAATGCGGGAAAACTTCCTGCCATCGCCTTCACCTTCCGCAAAATATATTATATATATATATATGTATATATATATATATACCTGCTTAAAAATGTGAACAATCTTTCCAGTCAAAGAATAGGTTGCAAACCTTCAGATTTTTAATTTCGCTATTTTTGACGGTCATATCGGCTTCCAGTTGAACAATTTGCTGGTCCGCTTCTCGACGCTCCAGGATCAGCTTTTCGACTTCACGTTGTAAAGCATCCAGCTCTTCACTGCCGGAAGAGACAACACCCTGCAAAAAACCAGTAAATTTATCTAAATTATTATTCGATAGAACCAAATTTAAGACCAAAAAAATTTAACAAAATAAAGATAATTTGTAACAATACCAAAATTACTCGAAAATTAGCGTGGGATTCCGTATCAGTAACATTGCTGAGGTGCTTCTACTCGCCGTGCGAAATCCCCTTAACCAGTTCGTGAGCATGTATCAGCTTTTCAAAGGCTATTCGAGTGAAGACGTATTTTGTTGTGCCCGCCCGTTGTTAGCAAGGCAGGCAACACGTTCTGCCGGTCATAGTTTATTTCCTAATAGCGACATCCTTCAGCCCCTCATGTGGCGGAAAATCCAGCCACTTACACGTCCTCAAAAGACATACTAAGCCCCAGTGGCCCACTGTTCTTCCCGTCAGAACCAGCGCTCGTTCTTCGGCTTTCGTCAGTGACTTTCATGTTTCGCATCCGTATGTCACCGTTTTTATCACGGTCATACTGAAGAGATAGGCACGGTGTTTGGGGACGTCAGAAATGCTGTGAATTTTGAGGCAATCAACAGCTCTTCGCGCGCTCTCGAGCTCGATAATGTATACGTTATAATTAAACAAAATTTTTTAAAAAACTTGCCGCTGTTGTGTATGCGCTTGCCAAACTGGTTGTCGGCTCTTTCACAGATCGGAACGAAGGTGGTATCAAATTTGGTGGCAAAACGCTTGGAATTGGCCTTCCATGTTTGTGATTTTCAATCAAATACATACTGGAGAAGTTAATACAATTATTTTTTTAAAAAAAATGTATAAATGGCAATCAAATCATGTTACACTAATTAATTCTTGCTAAAAAATGGCAAATATCTGAATATTTTTGTCATCTAACAGCAATTTCTTTTTTATCAAAAAAAAAATGTCATATTTTTCATGCTTTGGTCGCGTCATTTACCCGGAGAAACGGGGACTAAAG